ATCGAACGAGCCTGGGCGGCCATATTGAATTTACCCATGTATACGTATAATACGTACAGTACCGGTATACATCGGTACGTACAGTAAATTAATTGTGGAAGTTTTCATGAATCGTAACATATTTAGACAAACAACACTCGGCAAATCGGTGAAAATAATCATTTATTGTCGAATTAAAAACGGGAATCTTTTACAACTGCAAATAAAACAAGATTAAAGATGGAAATATGAATGTGTACTTCTTGTCTTCACAAATAGTTACGTTTAAATCAGGTTTTATGCGAAATTAGTGCTGGGAGGAAGTACATGTAGTGTTTTTCATCAGGAGTGGTGGGCGGATATCCCCCGTGCTGGGCGACCGTAGCTATAGCGCTGCACCTATATTACAGACTAGTCGATTAATCGTAAAAAAAAATTCCCGTGTAGATGACTACCAAAAAGGGGCTTCCAAAACAGGCCTACATGTAATTCTGGCGCAGGGGATTTGAAACTTGTCTGGATTCCCACGTATAGATGGCCCAGCGACTAGAATGAAGTGTAGACCACTCCAGCACAGCATAGAGAGTCAATGCTTTTGAGTATTGACCTCCGGCTGAGAGGCAGCAATTATACACAATACACACACTACCCACAATTGCACACTAATGCACACAATGAAAACGAAGTGGCTGATCGGCAAGTTTGACAGTAGACTCACGGTTTGAATTTTCAATTTTTTCTAACATGCTTTTCGTCCATAAATTTCTTCATCGGCATCGCTGCTATCCATTGCTTGAATATTTCATTGCGATTGTGTGGGTTTGGAAACTGATGAAACGATTTCCCCTTGGTTTTCGCGGAATTATTATTACAATCAGACACTTGGCAGGACACCATGTTTGACGCACTCCAGCAAAGCATAGAGAATCAATGCTAATTCTTTTGTGTAAAATTAGTTATTTTATAAGACCAGAGAAAAAGGTGTAAATTTATTCTGTAACTTTCATGATATCTTTAGTTTTGATGTACTATTTTTAAATCATCGTCGTGAAATCAAGTAGGTCTACATGTATATGGTGACGTCACAGCTGGTGTTAAGCTATCGATTTTGATATCGGTATCGGGCTCTTAATTTCATCAGCAAATTTTCTGCTCGATTTAAGAGCTCTTGACAGCTCTAAACACTAACACTAACACCAAACTTGAAATCACTCAATGAGCGGGAGGTTGATTCTTGAAGCCCGGTAAAATGAAATTATAAAACGGAAAGATAATTAATATAAGTAACCTGTTTAGTATGTCTTCCAGAAATCCTTCTTTCACTTGATGTGCGCATCTTAACCGGTCCTCGATGTATGAAAATGGTAGGAATAGCATCATCTTTGAGGATTTTTCGAGGTCTTGTACCGCATAGCTCCGCTTTCAGATCATGCTCGAAGCACCGTGGTTCAAAGTGGTCGCTACAAACGACATGATTTCTATTATATTGGTAATTGTTCAAGTTGAATTTCGCCGATTTCAGCGCAGCAATCCATTTTGCACACGGGTCATTCCATGTCAAATCACCCAATGGTTTTAACCCGACCATTTTTGATTTTGATGAAACTTAGTGTACTTGTTGAGTGTGATCTCACAGCACCAAATCAAAAATTTTAGGTCAATCGGGTGAGGGGTTTGGGAGATACGGCCCACCAAATTTTGGGAATTTTTCAAAAATGGGGGTGGCGGGCCTACCTTTGAACCCTTGTATCTCGGGACCTAATGGGTCAATCTTCACAAAATTTGTATTGTTGGAAAGGGTATTCAATAAGGATTCCAATTCTGCCGCCATTTTGAAGATTCGTACATGTTGGGGTACTTTGACCTCTTGACCTCAGATTTGACCTTGAAATTGACCTTGTGGATCACGTAACTTTGACAACATTTTTCATGAAATGTAATCTCTGACATGTTAACTAAAACATGTAAAAGTTTCAGAGATATAATATTTTTTGTTTAGGAGCAATAAGGATTGAAAGTATTCATGCTGACAGATATTCACAATAAACCCTATTATGTATACAATACATGCAATATGCACAGTACAACAAACATCTTCCACATGCTTTTTTGTTTTAGGCATATCCATCCTAAATGTCAGTAGGACTTGAATAGAAATAAAATTACAAGTTCATATAGGCCTAAAGGGTTAACAGGATGTATGGCTTTAGGCCTCTGAGTCGGATCTAGGATAATTACCCCCCTGGAAAATTAACCCTCAGGAAATTTCCCCCCCCCCCCCCCGAGGACAATTACCCCCCAAGGACTATCACACCCAGAGGATTATTACCCCCCAGAAAATTACCTCCTAGGACAATCTGTCCCCCCCATCCCCCCGAGGACAATCTACACCCAGACAATTTCCCCCTAGGGCAATTACCCCCCCCCCCCCCCCCCCCCCCGGGAAAATTACCCCTCAAGAATAATGTATCCCAAAAAATAAATCTGCTTTGATTAAAACCACCTTATTATCAGGTTGGACTTCCACTTTAACGAATAGGGGGGGGGGGTAATTGACCTCTGGGGTAATTGTCCTTAGAGGGTAGTTTTCCGGGGGTGAATTTTCCAGGGGGTAATTATCCTAGAACCGACTCAGAGGTCTAAAGCCATACATCCTGTTAACCATTTAGGCCTATATGAACTTGTCATTTTATTTCTATTCAAGTACTGCTGACATTTAGGATGGATATGACTAAAACAAAAAAGCATGTGGAAGATGTATGTTGTACTGTGCATATTGCATGTATTGTATACAGTATAATAGGGTTTATTGTGAATATCTGTGAGCATGGATACTTTCAATCCTTATTACTCCAAAACAAAAAATATTATATCTCTGAAACTTTAATATGTTTTAGTGAACATGTCAGAGATTACATTTCATGAAAAATGTTGTCAAAGTAACGTGATCCACAAGGTCAATTTCAAGGTCAAATCTGAGGTCAAGAGGTCAAAGTACCCCAACATGTACGAATCTTCAAAATGGCGGCAGATTTGGAATCCTTATTGAATACCCTTTAAAACAATACACATTTTGTGAAGATTGACCCATTAGGTCCCGAGATACAAGGGTTCAAAGGTAGGCCCGCCACCCCCATTTTTGAAAAAATCTCAAAATTTGGTGGGCCGTATCTCCCAAACCCCTCACCCGATTGACCTAAAAAATTTTGATTTGGTGCTGTGAGATCACACTCAACAAGTATACTAAGTTTCATCAAAATCAAAAATGGTCGGTTAAGATTTTCAGATTTTTCGGGTGATTTGACATGGAATGACCCACACCTTTCCCGTTCTTTCACGGGGTCCGGTATTGAGTAAAAACTTTTACCCTTTGTCCTAGAGGAGTCATTATAGCAACCTATTGCTTGGCAAAAGACCATGATTCGTCGTGTCAGTGCGATAACAGTGTACCGCGAGCGAAAGTGAATGTCTGTGAAATAAGAAGGCAGCTCGCAACATATGTCACAATTTCGATACTATCGGTTATTTTTTGGCGATCGTTTCATGCCCATGTAACGCTATTGCATATGGCGGACAGCTGATTTTCGATACAAAAAGTCGATATATCTTCGTTATGTGATCATGGATTTTAATGAGACTTGTATCATTCTTCATGGTATTATTAGGTCTACCGGTATATCGTCAGCTAAAGAAAATCCTGGGGTGGACTTTCCCTTTAAACACCCAACTTGAAATCACTCAATGTCTAGCAGCTAGCTACGTACACATTCTAAACGTAGGCCAAGCCTACACAGTACAGCTCCTTGCTGTATGTAAACTAGCATCTCACGCTGTGTCGTCTGTACAGAGCGTATAGCGCTAGCGAGCTCGAGCGCGGACGTGGACGCGCGATGAAAACAACGATTCATTTAATACCTCCGCAATTTGTAACAAACAATATTGCACACAAATGGGACATTCAATTACAATATAATAAGTGACATACCTGTTTTGCGTCAATCGTAACTATACTCATTTCTGTTGACTGACGGGATTTGTGAATCCGTCTCATGGCAAAGATCGACGGAACAGCATTCTCTTTCAGCCGCCTCATCAGGGTCATGTCAACTCGATAATCATAATCTGACACGGTAAAGTGATCACTGCAGATCACATCGTTTTTCATGTCATGCTTTTCGTCCATAAATTTCTTCATCGGCATCGCTGCTATCCATTTCTTGAATATTTCAGTTTGATTGTAAGGGTTTGGAAACTGATGAAACGATTTCCCCTTGGTTTTCGAAGAATTATTATTACAATCAGACACTTGGCAGGACACCATGTTTGACGCACTCCAGCAAAGCATAGAGAGTCGATGCTAATGCGTATTGGCATCTAGCACTGCACTACGTGTTAATAGGCAGCATTTAAATACATGAATAGTCAACACACTCGTAACACACAGATGCAGGCAATCATGCCGATGCGGCTGATCGGCAAGTTTGACAGTGGACTCACAATTTGAATTTTTAAATTATTCCTCCTATTCTCCTAACATCGGAAAGTTGAAAAAATTGTATTTTACTGCTATTTAGGTGTCATCAATCGACACTAAAGTACCGATTTTTAGTGAAATCAGTTAAGTTTTGTACAGTGGCGTTTGAAATGTTGAGAAACAATCGCACAGCTTTTAATACACAGCCAGGATAGTAATACACCGATGTGTGGTTTGACGTTGAGTCTATTGGCCTACGTACATGTAGCTTAGAAGCATGCGTAACCAGAGGTTTTCCCAAAGGGTTTTCCAGACGCCCCCTAAACGAGGATTTCGCCCGAAGCCAATGATGATGTAAAAATTCTGATGTAAAAATGTATTTCAATATATGCACTGACCATAGATCTAGGTCAGTGAGAAGTAATAGCATCAACCTGTACACAATACACTCACGCTGCGCGCGCTGTCCAGAGCGCGGCGCTATCGCGGGAGCACTTAAGCGCGATGAAAACAACGATTCCAGCATTTAATCACCACCGCAATTTACCTCTTTTGCCTCAACCTTAGTCATTTCTGTTGACTGACGGGATTTCGGAATCGGTCTTTTGGCAAAAATCGACGGAACTGCATCCTCTTTCAGTAGCCATTGAGCTCTTCCTCCCATCAATTTCGCTCTCATGTCAACTCGATAATCTGACTCGGTAAAATGATCACTGCAGATCACATCGTTCTTCCTGTCGTACTTTTTGTCCAGAAATTTCTTCATCTTCATCGCTGCTATCCATAGCTTGAATATTTCAGTGCGATTGTGTGGGTTTGGAAACCGGTGAAACGATTTACCCTTGGTTTTCGAGGAACAATTATTACAACCAGACACTTGGCAGTACACCATGTTTGCCCGGCATGTTTGACGTGTATTGCATATAACACGCGCTTCTAGTTTTCTAGGCGTATATCGCCGCGCGCTATACACATTAGTTCTCGGACCATGCGATACGTCACAACCCGGAAGTTTTGAAGGGAAATTCCCCGGGGGGTCTCGCTCATTCACGTAGAAAATGTACCAGAGGTTTTCCCATAGGGTTTTTCCAGACGCCCCCTAAACGAGGATTTCTTATGAAGCCAATGAAAATTCACCCTAAATGAGGACTTTGTGTGAGTTTTTCCCCCATACACCCTAAATGGGGATATAAAAAAAAAGTGTACAAGTATAGGCGCCTACTGTAAAATTGTAACCCCTTGAGCATTTTGCAGTGCGCGATATATAGGGACTACCATTTAAGTTGTTGACAATGTAAAATAAATCAATTGAATTGCGCTTCTGATGTAGAAAATTTGCGAAAAATTTCTGGCAGAAATGCCCCTAAATTCATGATTGTGTGAATCCTGAATCTGCCTTGATAATGTTGTATGGATCAATGTTCTCTTGCAAAATAATTAGGGGTGTTGGTGGTCATAAAATGTTTTAATTTTAAGTGGGAATGAAATTAAGTACCGGTTTATTCCACTAAAAATTGTTTTTTCCGGATCTAGGAATTTTTTAAGAGGGATGGGCATAAATTTGCTCTTTCAAGTTGATTTTGCAGTAAAGGTGAGTCAATTAAACGGGGTGACAAGTTCTCCTGCAAAAGCTGTTAGCTGTTCATGTGTTGTTAGATTTGAAAAACAATTCTGTTTTGCGAGGTTCTTTTGTCCCTTCACTGCCTAGATATAAGGAAAGATATGCCCTTTTTTTAGAAAATCCTCTCCCACGTTCTCTCTCTTTCTGTTTAATATGTATGAATGTGTGTGTGTGCGTGTGAGAGGATGTTTGTATGTGTTAATATACTCGTCCCTAAAAATCAGAATCATAGCTGAAAAACATTTGTATTTGCAGGAAAGAGCTTCTTCATCATCTTAACTTATTTTGTTTAATAAAGAAATCTTTATTTATGGTACCTCATGTCTGCACTGGCTGACTTTACAAATAGTGTATGAGGACAGACAGAGCAATGTGGATTAATGGACTTTATTAAAGAATACACAGCATGAAACTGATATCGAACAGCCATATTTACATCGCTCTTATAATATGTCCTGGTAACAAATTCCACAATAACAAATTGTCTCACTTAACAGCCCATTTCAGTAACAACATGCAAACAGATGAAGTCAGCTATCATAAATGCTTATAAAGATATAAAGGCAACAAGTACATGCATTTCCCAACAGAAGGTTCTTTAACACAGCTTTGTGAATTACTGGCAGTCCGGTACAGCAGTTGTATATCTTGATAAAATTGGAACTGAATGTTAGGAACAATGTCTGATCTATATCATTGATGGTAAATGCTAAAACGTGTCACATGTCATGACTAGTTCAATGGAGATCAAATGAACTGAATGACAAAATAACAAACAAATCCAGAAACACCAGATACAATCTACGAGAAGCGGGTAGGTCATGTCAATTGGCTTACGTATGTATTGCCAAAACTGAAAATCTACTCAAATATAAGGATATGCAAATGCAGGAGGGATCAAATCGCAATAATGCTTGAAAGGAAAGCCGGGTCATCAAATTATAGACTCCTACACAAATTGATTCATCTTTGCATATGCTTGGTATGTCAAATGGTAATTGTTATATTTCAAAATGTTTCATGTCTAGGGGCATATGCAATTAATGTTTTAGTAAATGTTGCATTGGCACCTCTGCTCAGTCAGAGAAGTGAACTACTGGTAATCATATCCCTGCACAGTTCTTAAGAAAAGTAAAAAATCTTGCAGATTTGTTTGGATAAAACAACAATCAAACTGGTTTAATACCGTATATATTTTCCAGTCTCTATAATTTTCAGCAAAAATAATCAGTGCCATGTCATTAACATTTCCCTTTAGTCAACATTGGATCTTGTACCAAATGGCAAATGAATTTTACGTCACTTTATGTTGAATATTGACTGGTCTGCACATATATTTACATCACATTGTAAAACTATAAAAGTCACAACTACTTATTCTTCACAAAAAGAATAATTTACAACTTTCATACAAATGTATTTGAAGCCATTATAAACACAAGCATGTCCTTTCATGAGAAAACCTGTTTCTAATAGATTTGGCAATTCCTATCACTTCCATCACATTTATCCCCATGTTTGCTGTGCACAGCAAACCCATTCCAAGAATAATTATGTTTTCCTATACGTTTCGACCCAATCAGCCATTTCTTTCTGCCTGAAACATAAACAGGTATGTTCACATAGAAAACATGATCCAGTTAAGCCACATTAAACAAAGAACAAAAGTTTTGAGGCGCCCAGTGAAAGTTCATTTCTGAAATTTGATTGTAAACCTAGCAGCACAAAAGGGGTTAAAACTCGAAATTACTTAAGTTACCATCAATACAGAGAAAACATACTTTAGATTCCATCTTTTATTTCAGTTGCAAAATACATACGCTGATGGAAATATATCTCAGTGAGACTGTTATGTACATACCATGATGAATAATAAGGTATGAAGATATATGCCATCGTCTACTAATAAATGTAACTCATGAATGGGTAGCTGTACATGAGGTTGCCAACAGTCTCCTTCTAGAAAACTGCATCTGCACATTGATGGGAAGGAACCCGACTCTTCTGTTAAGTTTTCACACTAATCAAATGTCAACTGACAAACTAGATGAAAATCTTTGTCCTCAGCAATTCCTACTTGAAAGGTGCATCTCCTTTTTGATGTAGATGGGCCTGTATGTCCTGCTCATCAGCTCTCTAACATCTCTTTGAGGTTGTGAACTCAAACTTCACAGTAAACCTTTTTATAGGACAGTTCTTACTTGACAGTGGTATCTACTTGTCGATGTGAAAGGAATCACCTGTCCTGGTTGGCTCTCAAATGCTAATCTGATTCAGTCAACTGATCTACCACAACAAAGATCTTGTCTTGGACAATTCCTTCGGGACAGCTGCAATTTCATGTTGATGTGAAGTCACCTGACTGATATTGTCAGCTCTGAAATGCTCATGTGATGCTGTTCACTGTCAATCCAATGGATGATAGTCTTTGTCTTGGACAATTCCTTCTTGAGAGCTGCATCTGCACACTGATGTGAAGAGGCCAACTCGCATGGTCTGATCTCATTTAAATTGAAATTTTCAACTGATTCTTTAAATAAAATTGTCCTTGTCTTGTATATTTCCTACTTGACTGCAGCATCTGCTTGTTGATGTGAAGGGACCTGTCTCATGAGACTATGATCAATGGTCTGGTGAAGCATCAAGCCTAGCACGCCAGCACGGTTTGTCATAGCTGTCTTCACATTTCTCTCTTGCTCCAGCAGGTCATCAAGTCTCAACCACTGTGAATGAATAACAACATTAACAGATTTACTTTCATGCGAACAGAAATTTTCAAGAACTTGCAATTTCACAGCTGATATCTGTCAGCAAGTCAAAATTATGGACATTTGTAATATTGAAGCGGTAGATATGTACAAACTGAAAATCTAAAATGATATGCGTATATATATGACCAAACTATACTTTAGCAACAATCAGTGGAGGAACTTTCAGGCCTTATTAAGTGGTAGGAAATTATCCCTTCCTTTTGAGTCGTGACACAAGAGGCATTTTTGCCAAGCCTAATATTTGTCAGACTCTTCTTATTTCATAAAAAGACTCTTTATTTCTTTTGCACTTTTTCCCTTGGATCCCAACTTCATGACATTCTCTATAATGGATTCCATCAGAAATTCATGAATTATCACAGATTTCTCATAAAGGTATTCTACTAGTATCAGCTTTATCACATACAAGTTCCATGGTACCTAACAAAAGAAAAGAAAAGAAAAAACTCACCCATCTGACTCTCTCTAGATCAATCTCTGCTCTTCTCAGCTTTTCCCAATTATGATGCTTATTACACTTTCGCTTGGGTAGATGGCAGAATTCACCCGTTTCCTTAAATACATTAGCCACTAAAGGGCAGCCACACACTTCTTTTTCACTGACCTATTGAAAAACCAAACAAATTTTTTTCTAAGATGTTAATTAATTAATTATAAACTAGATGGAATTTTGACTGCGCGCAGTCGAAAATGATGCCTCCGCCATAGAGCAATTTAAACAAGTTTGGAGTTTAAATCTCCAGTGGTTCTTGAGATATCATGATAACAATCTCAATGTATGGAATTTCATAAGTTGACCTCTGTGACCCTTGACCTTTGACCTACGTGCTCCAAAATCTAATCAGATTGTCTTCCTATGGTGATACACACTATCATTAAGTTTGAAGTTTAAATCTCCAGTGGTTCTTGAGATATTATGATATGGTGATACATACTATCATTAAGTTTGAAGTGAAAATTCTCCAGTGGTTCTTGAGATATCGCGATAACGATCTCAATGTATGGAATTTCATAAGTTGACCTCTGTGACCCTTGACCTTTGACCTACGTGCTCCAAAATCTAATCAGATTGTCTTCCTATGGTGATACACACTATCATTAAGTTTGAAGTTTAAATCTCCAGTGGTTCTTGAGATATTATGATAACAATCTCAATGTATGGAATTTCATAAGTTGACCTCTGTGACCCTTGACCTTTGACCTACGTGCTCCAAAATCTAATCAGATCGTCTTCCTATGGTGATACATACTATCCTTAAGTTTGAAGTTTTTACATCTCCAGTGGTTCTTGAGATATCATGATAACAATCTCAATGTATGGAATTTCATAAGTTGACCTCTATGACCCTTGACCTTTGACCTACGTGCTCCAAAATGTAATCAGATTGTTTTCCTATAGTGATACACACTATCACTAAGTTTGAAGTTTAAATCTTCAGTGGTTCTTGAGATATCATGATAACAATCTCAATGTATGGAATTTCATAAGTTGACCTCTGTGACCCTTGACCTTTGACATACGTGCTCCAAAATCTAATCAGATCGTCTTCCTATGGTGATACATACTATCCTTAAGTTTGAAGTTTAAATCTCAAATGGTTCTTGAGATATCGCGCTAACAAACTCAATACAAGGAATTTCATAAGTTGACCTCTGTGACCTGTGACCTTTGACCTACGTACTCCAAAATCTAATCAGATCGTCTTCCTATGGTGATAAATACTATTCCCGAGTCTTAAGTTTAAATCTTAAATGGTTCTTGAGATATTGTGATAACGGTCAAACGGGACGGACGTACGGACGTACGGACGGACGGACGTACGGACGGACAACCCGAAAACATGATGCCTCCGGCACCACCTTCGGTGGCGGAGGCATAAAAATGTAATGAGGGGGTGAGAACATGTAGAACTCAACTACCGATCTTGTAAAGAATTATTTAAGTCCTTAATGAGAATATAAAATGAAAATTTCATACCTTTATCAACTTTGCCTACTAATGATATCAATATGTTAAATGTATTTGGCACGTCTCCTTATACAGTACACAGAAGAAGAAAATGGAACATGTACCTTCATATCAAAATTTCATTTAAATCTGTTGAACACTACTAAAGTTATCAAACGGAAACCAGATTTGTTACGAACATTTAAACTATATCCCCTCCGACTTCGTCGGCGAGGGGATAATAAAAGTTGGTGAAATCTTACCTTTGGTTCTTTGGTGTGTTCAGGACATAATACTTTCAGCCTCTTACAATAGGTGTCCTGCTGTGCATTGTAATAATCACAGAACATGGACTCCCTGTCAAATAAAACAACAAAATAATCTTCATGAAAGTAGTTGAATTTAGTCACTGCAAACCTGTTCACACACAATACAAGATGATATTAAATATTCAAGCCTTTTCCAAAGATGTCTGCAATAGTAAGATATCTTATTGCAACATTTTTTGTGAACATCAAGGTTTTCAATTAAATAGATGCAAGTATTGCCATGGAAATACTATTTAAAGAATAACAACAATTTGCTAAGCACTACCTATGACACCGTAAGATTTCAAAGAATTGTGAAGATAAGTAGCTGTCATGCTAGCAGACTTCACATTTACACATTATTTCATGTTAATTACTGCCACTATCCTTAGAAATTTGAAATATTGAATCATCATTCAAGAAATTGAATTGCACCATGCTACCGACGTTAAAACCCTAATTTGTACAGTGCCACAAATCGTGGGTCTGTCTATTTTTATTTTATAATACAGAAAGAGACAACTTTTTATCTAAGTTAATATACAGTACCTGCAATTAAATATTTGTTGTATCTTGCTTTTCTGTGCATTTCTTTATGTAAAGTCACATGGATTGGAAAAGAAGACCCTCAGTTTTATATTTATTCTTTATCTTTTCTAAGCATCTATATGACTCACTTCAAAACTTACTGTTGTTTTGTATACACTGTTTCTTGCTTTTGTCTTTGCCAAATAAATAGTAATAGTAATAACTTACCCAACAATTCTTGTTTGGTATGCAGATCCATAGGATGTCTGGCTTTCATACTGAAATAGTCATTTAAAAAGGAGCAAGAATAATATACATTGTCATACTACAATACTCTCCAGATATGCATAAAAGTACGATTATAAATGAGTGAAATTCCCAAATTTCATAAGGAGATAAGGGTGGGGACTTCCATAATTAAGATTTTACTGTGTCGCTAATTGTAGAAGTAATCTTCCCTTTTAATTTTTAAATAAGATATTAAAATATCTTTCCTACAGATAGTAAGTCTTCTTCGACCATGACATGGATCTATTTCAAAACCAGATGGAAGGTTAGCTTGGCAAACACCACCTAATAGGAGAAGAAAGATGGGAAGACCAACTTGGAAATGGACTGATAACATTAAACAGTGGACAGGAATGTAATCTAAGCAGTCAGCTAAAACAGCTGAAGACTGAAGACAAATGGTTATGGAGAACCTTTGTCACCCCAACGGCTTCCAAGCTATGGGACATAGATAGATAGATAGATCAAGAAAGTGGACTGACTTACCTTTCTGAAGCACTTGCTCATATGCATGAGAGCCTTGGTGGGATTAATGGAATGTCCACAGGTTACACAGTTCACACTAGCCTCTGCCTCTTCTTCATTGTCTGTACTCTAAATAGCAAATGAAAACAGTACAGATAGACAGTATATAATTACTGCTCAATTTATTTATTTTTTTAACTGTTTTACAGTCGAACCTGTCTATGGCGACAGCCAAAGGGAAACACAAAAAGTGGTCTTTCTAGACAGGTTCCTTTAGTACATGTTTCAATGGTCAAGGGGGGAAAAATGTGGTCTTTGTAGACAGGTGGTCACTAAAGCAGGTTTTACTGTATATTGCAAACTTATCCATGCTATCCTGCGATTACCTGTATTGCATATGAAAATAATAGAGCTTTGTCGATTTCATCATTCCAAAAAAAAGGTTTCTACTTTGAAACATCAAATATCATACAATTACTGAGGGAAATTCAATTCATTTTCTCGAATGTGTTCTCTATCAAATTGTGTTGGTTCTTATGTATGCTGCTAGCTAAGATAATATGAAGAATTCAATAACACATCTGTTGACTTTGTATATATGTTTATACATGTTCTTACCTATTGTTTATTGCTGTTATGAATTTATGTTCAAGATTTTGTTATTAATATTATTATCATATATATATTTGTTAAACTATAATGTACCTCATTATGTTAAATAGGGCCTCATGGAACCACCGTCATTGGAGATAATGAGTCACCCTGTCTAAATATCAGAAATAAATAAATGAATAAATAAACTTAACATACATCTTGTTCCATCTTAATGGGTATGCTCTTGGCCTTGACGATAATCAACTGCAATTTCTTGATTTTGTCATCCAGCTCAGCAATCTTCAACTTGACTTTCATCATCTCATTCCTCATCTGTTCTAAGCTCTTCTTGTTGTTCTCCTCAGCTACACAGGGGCTCTGCTGCCACTGCTGAATCCGCTGGGGAAGGAGCTCAAAGATCCGACTGGAAGAGGAGAAAGTTTGAAATGAATGATTAAGAAAGAGTAATTAAAACTAGAAAGAGGGACTTTTCTTGTTGTTCTCCTCAGCTACTCAGGGGCTCTGCTGCCATTGCTAGATACGCTGAGACAAGAGCTCAAAGATGGACTGAAGGAGGGAGAGAGTTATGGATGAAAGAGAGAAGAATCAAAGAGAAATGCATGAAATAAGAGAGAGAGAAATCCATAAAATAAGAGAGA